TCTTGTGCTACAATGGGCAAAAATGAGGGATCCAAAGCCCAGAAATTGAAGAACCTAAAAGGAATGTTTCTTTTAGGAGTAAGCTCTCCAAACCTTACCACCATTGGAGAGTGATCAGAGATACCCTGGGGAAGAAACTCACATTCAGCTTGAGGGAAAAGGGAAATGAATGTGAAATTGGCCAGTACTCTATCCAGCTTCCTTGTAATATTAGCACAACCAAAGCTTCCATTGGACCAAGTGTGAAACACCCCAGTGAATTTCATGTCTTCAAGTCCATTTCTATCCAAACACTCTTTGAATTCATGCATTCTTGTTGTCCATCTAAGGGCTCTCCAAAGGAGTCATTCACATGAAGTAAAACATTAAAGTCTCCCATCAAAATCCATGGCTCATTCGAAAGGCAGAAGGAATTAAGTGTTCTCCACATAGATTTCCTTTCAACTGAGGTATTGGCAGCATAAACAAATGAAGCTAGAATTCTCTTCTTGAAATCAATGAGTTCAATTTCACAGTTGATAACTTGACCATACTCCCTTGAACTAATCATTGAGATTTTCTGAGGATCCCATAAGACCCAAACCCTTCCTAAAACTGAGGATAGGTAATTGCATTTAATTTGCCATTGTGGAGCAATAAACTAATGGATAGATTACATATTGTTACGGCATACTTTGGTTTCCAGTATTGCTACAAGATTTAACTTTGATTCTCTAATGAGACACCTAATCTCTATTTGTTTGAGGATAGAGTTGAGCCCTCTAATGTTCCATGCTGCCCAATTCATTTGGAGGAGGATGAGAGGCTACATAGACCCCTAAACCCCTTCAGGGAAACACTGTTGACTACTGGTTTTGAAACTTTTGGCCTTTTTGCAATTTTAGAATGCTTAGCATGTGATGGCTTTCTAGGTTTCATCAACTTATCCATGATGGGGGTAAAATCAGTGTCCTGCTGGTTCTGGGAAGAGATTTCATCTGATGAGGAAGCTAGATCTTCAGGGCAATCTTGGACTTCATTGTTGTCATCTTGTGAGAGGGCAGCAAAAGAATTAGATATTTTAACTTCAGAGGAGGGAGCAGCTCTAGAACTGTGAGGTTTTGGATTATGACGTGAGAGGTCAATAACCAAGTTAATTGCTTTCATCATTCCATTCTTAGGTGAAGGTGAGTGATTCCCAGACTTCTTATGTGGATTTTGAAAGACATCAGTCAAATCTGCCTTAGGATTAGCTTCAGCTGGTAATGATGAGTGGAGGGTTGGTTCCACATCCAATTGAGGTGCTGTATTTGTATCATCTGTTCTCTGAGGATTGGGGTTAAGAGACAGAGTTTGTGAAGGTACTGCCGAGGAGCCATTAACAATAATTGGAGCAGTGCTTTCAGCGAGCAAACCGAGAACAGGTTGAGGAGGAGTAAGCAATGTCACAGCTTGGGGGTTTGAAGTTGATGCATCCAATTGTGTGTTGTAGACAGAGTTTGTGAAGGGGCTAGGGATTGGATGACAGTAACTCTTACCTCTCTTTTTTGTGACAATTTGCCACTCTTGAGAGTTGGAAGGAGCCGGGGAAGTTTGAACATTAATGGATTGAGGGAAAGTAATTTCACTACATTGATCATTAGAGTGACCAAAGGAGGAGCAATGAGAGCAGATATCAGGAATCCATAGATATTGAACCTTCACAGTAGCAGTATCACCACATTTGAGAGTTACAGGGAACGTGTTAGGGAGTGAAGAGTGTGGATATATTTCAACACATACTCTAGCATAGTCAATTCTACTGCTTTCTTGGGTAGTGGTATCTGCTAGGATAGGTTTCCCTACTGCACTAGCTAAATAACTGAGCCCCGTAGGGGACCAGAGCTCAAATGGGACATTAAATAGTTTGACCCAAATTGCAATTGATTTCACAGCATCAGAGTGGGGTTGTGCAGAGGGATCATGATTCCAAAGTCTAAGAGTAACAGCCTTTCCAGCAAGAAACCATTGCTCACCAGTAAGGATTGAAATACAATTGTCAATAGAATCAAATTTGAAGTAGAAAATACCTTCTGTATAAGCAAGTACATTTCTCAGACCTCTGGAGTCCCAAAGCTTGTGTGCCTGATCTGAGATAGTCTCATAAAGCATTCTTCTCCTGAATGTACCTACCAAGCAAGATTCCCAATACTTCAGTCCACTACTCCTGATCTCATCTGGTGGATCCACAAGAATCGAGTCATTCATGGTTGAAGGTTTGAAGAATTGAAGCTCCCAATTAGAAGGTTGAGAATGTGCCACTGATGCCCAACTCTTTGAAATCATTTCATTTTCCTCCTGTGTTGCAGACTCAGGCCGAAGAGAGTTCACCAAATTGTTCTCTAGTGTAGGCAAACCACGTGACTCCTTAATGGGATAGTTAGGTTGTAATTGGATTGATGAGGAAATTTGTAAAGCAGTTGGTGGACAGGACATATGGTTCCCTTGGGAACTGTGAAGAGGTTCTGAAAAGTGAGGAGTGGGTTGAGCCGGGAAACCAGGAAAAGGTAATGTCTCATCACAGTTTGAATTTGAATTCGAATTAGCATTGTTGAAACCACCTTCTGGTGATGCGCCGGTAACACCTGCCGGAGAAGCTTGAATTTTGCAGATAACATCCCCACTGATAGAAGCAATCTCCCTGATTTTCTGAAGTGCACCTTGTAGCTCCTCATCTTTAGCTTTGAGAAGGCATTTGAGCCTATCAATCTCCTTTAGCAGTTCGAATTTAGATGCATCCATAATGGTTGCCTCTAAGCCTTCAGGAAGATAAACAACGTCATTGACTTCCAAGTTTGAGGGGTTGAGGATAGGATCACGCTGCAATATATTAAGGACTTTGTTAATGGTATGCCCCGTGACTGATGGGGGCCGAGGTTTGAACCTGGAAGGCGAGGATATTGGAGTTGACGGATCCCTTTGATTCGCTGGTATCTTGGCTGCATGATTATGTTGGTGTGAGTTATGGGGAAGCTTTTCAGAAGGTGGCTTGCTTGTGAGAGAGGTGATACGGGTAGGTTTAGTTGGTCCTCTGGGGGGTTTTGCAGTCAAAGGAGATGGTGGTGTGATCTTCTTATGCCGGAGTTGTGATGGGTTGAAGGGTGGTTTAAGGTGATTAGGAAGTGGGTTGCGAGAAGGTGGTTGTTTGAAGGGTGGTTTCATGGTTTTTTGATGAAGTTGATTTGCTTTGAAAGATACGCATAATACTTGTAAATGTTGCTACAGTACAAATTAGTTTTTCCAAATTAAAGTTGATAAAATCACATTCACGATCAACTATGTTGTGGGAAAGGTTAAATGAATTGACTAGATTATGTATTTAAAAAGATAACTAAACCTGAATACAAGATCTAATTAGTAACTTTTACATCTCAAAAAGAATCTAATTAGTAACTTTTGCATCTCAAAAAACAAGTTATGCAAGGTCTGTTGGTAGGCTCAGACCCAGGTTCTCGTTTCGTATTAGTTCCAAAAGGGTTGTTCCAAATTGAAACATCCTGGAGTTTTTTTTATTTTATTTTTTATAATAACTACTTATATGTAAAAATTAAAAATTATATACAAAAGAGTGTGTATATGTATATATAATATGCTGAACTATATCTGTCCTGAAAAGGATTGAAAGCTCAGAGCTGTCATACTTGAGTGCACAAGTCTTAACAATTTCAACCACACAGTGGAATAAACATATTATTTCATCCGCTACAATTTTTAGAAGCGATTGTGAGGTCTGTCGATTACGGGCAACAACTTTCACTGTTGAACCCTTTTCATATATTATAAAGACAAAGGTGATAATGATTTTGATGCTTTTGCAAGCAAACTCGAACTCAAAAGCATTTCATTTGATGCACTCCAGCTTGTTACTTAGCTCATTCTGCAATCATCACGGATCACTAATCTAATAATTAAACTAATCTCTATGGAGTTACATTCCTAATTGGAGAAGTAGACCGATAGTTAACCAAATAAAATGCATCAATACTGCATTGGATCAGATGTGTAAAATTTTAAGATAGAGTTACACATGGACACTAATAATGAAGTAATAAAATAATAAAAAAAAATTTATTAAATTATTTAATGCCTTCAACCAAACGTGTTGGACTCATATCTCGTACTCATTTTCAAGACTCATATCTCGTACTCATTTTCAAGTATTGTGTGTTCAACACAAGTATTTAACCTACTTTAAAAAGTTCATGTAACATAGTTTAAAAAATAACTAGGAGCGGATATCACCAAAGTCCAACCAAATGTTGAAAATGAATACCAACATAAATTCCAGATTGAAACATTTAAGCCGGTGGAACACAATCACGAAAATTTCTCTTTTAGGATTCAGGTAAATGAAAATTTATAAGAAAAATGAAGATGCAAAGACACAGAAGACGCTAGGCATGCAGTTTAGTTCGAGGAAGATGACATCGATCAATGCCAATAAGATGGAAGATGGAAGATGGAAGATGAGAAACTACAAATTTCTTGGGAGGGAAGTTCGACAAGCAGGGAATGCAAATGTAAACCAGGCACAATTCATTGAAGAATCCTTACCATGATTTATCTAGAAATTGTCTGAACCATGCATCTTTACATCCGACAATCTGTTAAACTCGAAATTTATTCATGTACCAAGAGAGAAGGAAAGAAGAAAGGTAATCGAAATTAATGCATAGAAATGCTCCACAAATTCATTCCGGCAACAAAGAGTTCAATAATATATAAAAGCAATTTGAGAGCATGAATTAACTATAAAATACTAAACACATACATTGTTTTAAACCACAGGAAGAATCAAAATTAGAAATTTGGAATCACCAAGAATTAAAAAAATAATAATAATAATAAACTGATAACATTAGGCAAATAAGAATGTTTAGCGAACTTTTCACTAATAACTCACTTCCCTTTCAATCGGAATAAGCTCTCCACGTATTTGGTACCATAGTGAATATATGGAGCCAGCTTTGTTCTGAGGAACCTTAACTTGTTGCTTTCCAGATCATAATAGCACAGATGTGACCTATCTTGAAAATAATAATACTTGAATAATATCTCAGTCGTATGAATGGAACCAACTGGGACCAACCATAATCATCTTTTAGTGGCCTCCCACCCAACGTCATTGTGAGGCTCTGTTTGTTCCACATTTGCTTGTCGCAGTCTTCTAATATCCAAATTGTGGTCACATCAAAATCTACCAGAGCCAAACGTTGTCCTACTTCAATTAAATTACCGCCACTTGTGCCTTCAGGGAGAGGCACGAAGGAAAACTTCTCGCGTCCGACTTCAAAAGCCACTAGCTCAACCGAGTTACCAATATTTAAATAATATATAACACCCCCAATGCAACAACAATCAGAACCACGGTGAAAACGAGTACCATACTGGATAAAATCATCATCAATATCTCTCCAGGAGTTGTCGTTAGGGCCGTTGCCGAGAGTCAAAATCTTGTAATGGAATCTTGTGTTAGTAATAATGTAGCGAAGGACTTTATGCCTGTTAGTGGAAGGTTCAAACCCTAGCAAGTATTCGGGATCAGAGGAAGCTTTAGTGTTGCTCATGTATAGGATGGCAATGCATTCTCGTGTGCTAGGGTTCCATATGCAGCCGTCGATAAGGATCAAGCCGTTAACATACTGTGGCTGTTTTAAAAATAGGTTGCGAAACTTTAGAATGCGATGGACAGAGTCTCCCTCTGGGTTTACTGAGAAGAGTCTATAACAGTAAGTAGCATTACGGTGATCGCGATGTGAAGTAAAGAGGACGATACTGATACCGCCAGGGCGAGTATGGGAACGAGTATGGTGCGACTGAACAAAAAGGGGATCGTCAATAATGGAGCAACAGAGCTTCGAAACACACCTCAATCTTAGCAAACTTTTTACTGGAATCTCTTTAAGTATCTGGAAGATTATATCTGGAGGAAGAGAAAACTTTACTCTCTTTTTCCTTTTCTCCATCTGGAAGATTAGCAAACTATTGTTGATAGTTTGTTGATGATGTTGGCGGCTAGGGTTTATAAGTTTTTGTGTAATCCTAGTCGGCTAGGGTTTCTTATTTGACGTTGTTGGCACGAATAAAGGTCCCAGAAGGCTTAACCGTGTAGTGTTTGCATCAGTGGATCCTTTCGGCTTTGAAAGGAGAGGTGGAGGAGGACCTAACATTCAAACCCAAAAATCCATTATCATCACGTGCAATAATGGTAAATGTAATTTTATTTTTAATAAAAGTTCTTTATTAATATTATTATATGGGAGGCAATATCACACTATAGTTTTTAACATTTGTACTATAATTTTAAATAAAATGATAATTCTAACATTTACAAATAAATAATTATTACTTTTAAAATAACCAAACCTTTCATATTTTCTCTCCCTATCTCTAATATTTTTAATATTTTAAGTATCTTTTGACAACACAAAGAGAGGCGGAGCCATGATTGTCTTTCCGCGCACAGGGCGGTAGTGATGGAAGAAAAAAAAAAATTGACTAACACAATAAAAATACACTGTTCACATAAAAAACAAAAAAAACAAGACAAAAAAAAAAAAAATAAATAAATAAATAAAATCACAGCAAACACATATCAATCTTCTCGCTAAACAAAAATATCAAACGCATAAGTAATTCTCGCCTTAATGAAGGCTTGTACTATCGGAGGAGATGCACATGGTTTTTTGAGTGAGGCAAATTTGTTATAGGATGACTAATTTTGAGATAATGGGTTTATTCGTATCATTCCCTTGTTCCATGCTATATGATTCCTTTGCTTTTACTTTTTGTAATGTCTAACACGGTCACCACTTTGGTTATACAACTTATAATTTTGTCCGTCTACCTTTTGGACTTTGTAAAAACATAACACAATATAAAATTTTATATTCTAAGGCACTTCCAGAAAATAATGTTTCCTTGGACTGGTAGGTGAATGACAGAATCACCCCATCCTATCACTAATTTGTGTAAAAAAAAAAAAATATGAGGGGGGCATATTTGAACTTTCAAAAATATATGCATTTAATAGTATAAAAACTAAGAATTTCAGTGGGGGCACATGCTCCCTCCGCCCTTGAACACAAATAAAATAAAATAAAAATTGAATAAAATTTTGTTTTAAGGGTCCAAACTTTTTTTTTTTCGGTTATGTTGAATAAATTTCTCTTTTGACTGTATCAAAAAAAAAAAAAAAGTAACCATTTAAAAGATTATCTCTTTTGACATGAAAAAAATTCCAAAAAAATATATTTATTGAAAAAATTATCTCCATTGTCAAGATCCCAAAAAATAATAATAATAATAATAAATACAAAGGAAGATGATTAAAAAATAAATTATCTTTATTGAATAAATTATCTCTTTCGATAAGATCCAAAAAAAAAAACAAAAAAACAAAAAAAAAAGGTTATTTTTATGAAATAAATTATTTTTTTTGACGGGACCCATAAAAATTACCAAAAAATAAAGTTACTTCTTTTGACATAATTGAAAAAAGGTCACTATGGAATAAATTATCCCTTTTGACTGCCAAAAATAAATTATTAGTATGGAATAAATTATTTTCTTTGAGAGGACCTCTGGGAAAAAATAAAAAGAAAGGAAAAAAAAATAGTAAAGAAAGTAAAGAAGGAAAAAAAATAAAATATTAATTAAAGTTATATAAAGGGTAATTATGACATTATAAATTAAAAAATTGTATGAATTCAAGGACTTTCTTATCATTTCCTTTAAAAGAAAATGATAAATAGAGTGCAACTGGAGAAAAGCGGAATGCGAATATCGTCTCCCTATATTATTATTATTAAAAAATTAATTTGAGATTTTATTTTTAATTCAAACCCCTAGTGTGTGTATATCATTAGAAGGGACCTGTATTTGGAAGTTTCTTAAAGCATTGTTAGTCTCGTGGTTTTTTACTTTTGATAGTATACTGTAGTGAAGCAAAACCACAAAGCATGTTTGACAATGTTTGCTCTCAATTGAATAGTACCCAAAGTATAAAATTTATGTTTTTGGTTTCTTCCGCACTATAGCAACAAAACGGTTAAAAAATATCTAAAATAACATTTTTTACTAGCCATTTGATTTTTCAAACTTGTAATACTTTTTACCAAATATGCTTTCATATTTTTTTCCACAAATCTTGCAACAAATTTACGTTACCAAACAGGCTTCGAAATAATGTTAAATAAACTCTAAAACAGTAACACTGTTTCTGCTTCCGATCAAAGTAAAAGCAGTTGCTAAACGAGCCCATAGGGATCATCTTTGGTATCTGGTCCAATGGTATAAACTCTCCATTCTCGAGGAGGAGGGGAGAGGTTCGAGCTCGGGTGTGGGTAAAAAATGTATGACTGGGTGTGTATTTATTGCCAATAAAAAAATAAATAAATAAAAGGTATACGAAGAATCCTTTTATAGAACCTGTTTGGCAATCGCTTCTGCTTCATTTTTTTTTTTTTTTTTTTGCAAGTATACTGCAGCGGAGCAAAAGTACAAAGCATGTTTGGTAACTTTTTTTACGATTTGAATAGTACCAAAGCGCATCCGAAAAAGAGGCCAAAGCCAGGAAAAAAAAACTCTAAAATGACATTTTTAAGTGGCCATTTAATTTTTCAAACTTGCATCACTTTTTTTACCAAACATGTTTTCATGTTTTTACTTCCAAAAATTTTGTAATTGATAAACATTACCAAGGAGCCTTCCAAATAGTATTAAACACATTTTAAAGCAAAAACATTGCTTCTATTTCGGATCAAAGCAAAAACACAAAACAAAAGTGGTTGCCAAATTAACATGCTATATATATGTGTGTGTATGTGTGTGTGTGTGGACATGAAGGTAGTCTAGTAAGCTTCTAAACATTTGCTTCTTTGGGTCAAACTCAAATTCCTTAACCAACGAGTTAGTTATTTAATCCAAATTTCAAAATACTCATGCTTCTAAGAAAATGGACTTCTTGTGGAAGACAACAAATCCAATAGGCTCACATGAAAACTTTTATTTCACAAGGACACAACACAAAGTTTCATTAATGACTAACACAAATCAGTCCGCCCAAGAAGCAAGCAAGTCTAATATGGACAAATGAACAACATATTTAGCCAAAAAATGATATGGCCAACTAGCTTAAACGTAGTGCCTTAAAGCTTGTAGGTTTTGCTGATTGCGTCATTTTCACTCAAAAAAATAAATTATCCTTTAGTGTCAAAAAAAAACTTATCAAATTGACAAAAGGTCTCGTCTGCCTCAGAAGTATAATATTCATTGTCATGAGAACCTCCAAAACATTCATTGCCATGAGAACCTTCAAAACACAACACCAAAATATCTTTACTATCACTTCCAGAATAAAAACTTCTTCATTCACAATCTACTCACATAATAATCCCCTCACCAACCATCTTGGATTTGTTATTTAGAAATTTCATTGACTCCATCATTAACTGATTCATGTTGTCATTTTTAGCATCAAAATTTTTGTCCCCGTCTTCTTCTTTTGCCGCTGATAAGTGTACAAAACTTATTATTTTATACTCAATAATAAATGATTAATTAATATTTTTTATTAGATAAATGTTCTTATTCCTGCTTTTCATGTTTTATATAGTCAAAATGAAAAGAAAAGAGACAAAAATAGTAAAAATGTGAGATTACACGATCAGTCAAAGTCAAATTCAAAATTGATTTTTTCATCAAATCAGCATCGATCAAGCCAAATTGAAAAGCAACAAGCTTTTAAAAGGATTTTATATATTTTTATTTTATTTTCAATTAGAATTTTCCCTCTCAATCATTCCATTCTAAACTGTATAAATAGGGACATATGTAGAGGAGGTGGAATGTATAGAGTTAGTGAGAGAAAATAATAAAGAGTTAAAGAATTGTTTTGTCTTGTATTTCTTTTGTTTTATTTAATGAAGGGCATTTTTATTTTTATGTTTTATGTTCTTATTAACATGCTAGCTTTAACATCTCATCTCGAGGAAAGATAAAGCCACCATGCCTGAAATATAAATAGGTTTATCTTTTATTTCTTGTATAAGTTTTCCTATTAAGAATATTATTTTTATTCTTCTATTCTGCATTCTTAGATTGATAAAAAAAAAAAAAAAAAAAAAAAAAAAAAAAAAAAAACAAAAAAAAAAATTTAGAAGGATTCTTCGTGTTTGCCAATTAATGGTAATTCAGAGAATGTCTACTTCTCTTTACCAAAGATATATGAGATTAAGTAAAAATATATTCTCTCATATATAAGTAGGTGTTATTTAACGCTATAATTTTTCATCATCTTTTCAAGTTGTAATTGGACAGTGATTTGCTTATTGGAGAAAATTTTACATAAGCAAAAAAATAGAAATTTTATTTATATGGATCCGTGGTGGTGGATTCTCATCCCTCGAGACTTTTTCATTATTTGATAAAATAAAAAAAAAAATAATATTATTTTTATTTATTTTATTTATTCAAAAATTCAAAATTATTTTAAAAGTTATTCTTCCATCCCTTAAATTTTGGTTTTGATTTTGAGTTCACGAGTTTACATCTTAAATGTGTAGTTCGACCCTGCTTATTCTATACCATTTTTATTTAGTATTTCTAGGTTTTATTATTTTTGCACAACGTGTAGACGAGCAACGACACAAATATTTATAATTTGACTAATTCGACACTAGTCAGCCGCTGTATCTATCAACTTGTGTAAATGAATTGATGTGTTTCCACATCCTTAACTTCCTCTTCAACTACAAGCTAGAGATGAAATGATAGCATTTTGATTATCATTGTAATATCCCTAATTTTTAGAGCATTTATTTATTTATTTTAATTGCATTTAATTTGATTATTTGGCTATTTGTTTGTGTAGAACGGTTAATCGTTTAATTGTTCATTTTTAGTTAATTGGTTATGGGGTATGATGTGATTATTAGTTGTTGGTTGTGTATTTAGTTTAATTGTTTAATTTATATAGTTATTTATTTAGTTAAATTGGTTAGTATTTTGTTTATTTATTTATTTAGAAGGGTTTTAAGTTAGATGGGTGAATTGTGTTGGTCTTGGAGATAAGGAGAAGGCTTAAATCCTATGGGTGTTATTATTTATGATTATATATATATATTTTATACATATCTATATAGTCATATATATTAACGTGTTTTATAAATATATAATTATATATATTTTTTGCTTGTCAGACTTAAACTAGGTTTAGGGTTAAAGTGTTATATGGGTAGTGTATGTGTGTGTGTGTGTGTGTGTGTGTGTGTGTGTGTGTGTGTGTCTAGTCTATTATGAGGGTTAAAAAAATGTGAGAACAAATAGAGAGGCATAGAGAGAAACCATGAGGTTAAGAGAGAGACTGAGAAACCAGGGGCAAAGAGGAAGAGGCCAAACCAAAAGAAGAAGAAAAGAAGGCTGTGTGTGGGGTAGCAACTGGACCTATAGAGCAAACGACACAACCTGAAGTTGCCGGCGTCGGAAAAGACAAATGGAGAAGAAGGAGGGTGGTTTTTTATCCGAACACCATAAGGCAAGTCCTTCATTCTACATTTCCCCTTTGATCTCGTGTTCTATGCATCTCTAGTACAATTTTAGGGACTTTAAAAAGAGATTATAAACATGTTTACATGTTTTAAAATGGAATGTAATGAATGTATATATGTGTATATGTATATGTATTTACAATGTTGAATCTTGTGAATTAATGTTTAAATCTTTGTTGTTCTTGCTCTAATAATGTATAATTGTTGGGTATTAATTAATAAAATCATATGGGACTTAATTTGCATGATTTGGACCCTTAACAAATGTACATGGAACGATTTATAGTAGCCAGAGATAAAGAAGATGACACCCAGCAGGAACCATCAATTTAACGTCAACCCTTTGTGGCCTATCACCAACGCCCTTTGGTCTAAGGAGATTCTCTCGTGGTGGCATGACACTATAAAATGAGAAACTAGATCAATAACAATAACACTCATAACCCATCTGAGAATGACTTCCTCACACGACTCACTTGAAATAAAAATGAAATCCTGTAAACAAGTTTCATGCAATAGATATAACAAGTTGAGTCACATAAGCATACACCTCAACTTTAAACACATAGCACGTAGGCAAGTATGCATGCTTCTCAAATAAGGAATAATTTGACACGTAATCACATATAAACAGTGCACATCAACTTCCATACTACTCTAGGTAATCTTCTACCCGTCGTCCTAATAGGTTTCGAAGCATTGCTTTGATACCAAGCTTGTAACTACCAAAACTTGGGGGTCTGAATCGCTAATTGGGTCCTTACCTGAACCCGAGGTCATCTGAGGGTAATAAAGTCATTTCCATGGTTAAAATATATTTAATACATCTTACTGGGTCCTACAGTATCTAATGAAACCATCAAATGGATGAAAAAGGGCACAATGGGAAAAAAGGAACAACATTGGCAATGATATAAAACTCGGTCGATGCTTAGGGGACTACACGTCGACCAAGTTAGGACATTCGGTTGATATGAAACCCTCACACATCGACCGAAATGGGGCTTCCATAGTGATTTGGGTACTAGCCAAATAAATGAGATACCAGTCGACGCCTAGGAGCCACACATTGACCGGTTCTCCCTAAAAAATGGCTCTGAGGCCTGTTTGGCTGTTGCAACCCCTTAGAACTCCATTTGACCTAATTATGAGCTTGAATGAGATATAAACATGTCCCAGAACATTCACTTGAATAGAAACAACGATAAAATGACATCAAAACCCCATAATAGAAGCGATTGCATTGTTTATTAATAAGATAAATGCAATTACATCATTAGATGGCTATAAAGTCCTATATGAGATTGGAAATCCTAATAAGACCACAAAAGATTACATATTGGTCTCAAAACCATTTATATCTATTGTGCACAGCGGAAGCTCTGATACCACTTGTTGGGTACAACAGAAGTTTTCTGATACCAATTAGTTGGGCAGAAACAAAAGCCCAAACAAATATACACAGACTGATGTCAAATCTTATAACAAAAAGATATGAATATAAATGAAAAGAAACACACCACACGATAAGATTTATATGTAGTTCACCCTCACAAATAGGGCTACATCCACAGGCGATATGATACGTATCACTATATAGAATAAGATTACAAATTGAACAATGTTTTAGTTCTTCCAGGAAATAATCACTCTTTTCACAATCAAATGTCACCCACCAAATAAAGAAAAGCTCACCAAACGCTCTTAAGAAAAATTCCCAATAATTATATGGTTAAATAAAGAAGAAAATTGTAATACTCCTAATTTTAAAATGATAGTCTCGGTATTTATTTAATTGTTTCATTTGCATTTTAAATTTTTATTTGATTTCTTAGCTATTTATTTAATTGATTTATTTGCTTAGGTGTTTATTTAATTTAATTGCTTAAGTGTTTGTTTGAATTAAATTGGTTAGTTAAATAATGTAACTAAATGATGTGTCTATTTGTTTTATGTGCTAAGTGCTTAGTTGTAATTAATTCTCTAAATTAAATGTTTATTTTATTTTAAAGGAGTTGGACATGGACAATAGTAATTGACCATCCAATAGGTCGCATGGACTACTTGGATAAGAGTCTTCAATGGGTAAGGATATTTACCCATGGATAGTTGTATATATAGTTTGGGAATATATGAATACATTGATAGTTTTAATAGTACCATTATTATTGATAATTCTAGTATTATTAATAGAAATAGTAATATTATTATTATGGCAGAGTTGGTATTGTATATATATTAAATATAATTGTAAAGTTATAATATATATAAGATAACTATCACGTTAGTTTTAATGAGCTTAATGTGTGTGTGTGTGTGTGTGTATTATATATATATATATATATATATATATATATATATATCTATGGTGTCCACTAATTGTATAGTGTTAAATTAATGGTGCATTAAGGATATGAGTTAATGGTGCATTAAGGATGTGAGTTAATAGTGCATTAAAGATGTTGACTAATGCAAAGTTTGGCTATAAATACGGATTGTTCATTGTTATATTGATGTACTTGGATTTAAGAGAAAGTAATAAGATTTCTCTCCCCTCAATCTATGCATTCTTCTCTCTATATTGAAGATATAATTTTATGTTCTATATTTTCTTTTAAATTCACAACACGTTATCAGCACGAGTCTCTAACCAACTGAGACTTGAAAGAGAAGCTCTCACTCTCACTCTCTCTCTATCTCAACTCATATATCTTACTTGTGATATTAGTTTTGATAAATTGCTGGGTTTGTTTGTTTTACCGAAACAAATTTACTTCTCACTCCAAAGGGTAAGCATTTCTTATATTAATATCATTCAATTTTTAAGTGAGACATGTGTATATTTATAAGGGTAGCTTCTACTACCTTTATTGTTTATTGTTTAACAATTTATCTAGTACGGCTGGTTTATGGGTTAACCACCCTTATTATATTTATTACTTATATCTGGTACTACTGATTTATGTTTTAACTGCCCTTATTCTATTTATTCTATATATGGTTTTACCACTTTTGGTATCTTCACATAAATTATGGTATTAATATTATTTATATTTATGATGATATTCTAAATTATGTTTTTATATTATTGTTATATCTAGTTATTCTTTAAAATGTCGAACTTGACAAAGCTGGAATTTGTGGCTCTGGACATTTCGGGGAAAAATTATTTATCTTGGATCCTAGATGCACAGATCCATCTAGATGCTATGGGGCTTGGTAATACCATTGAAAAAGATAATGATGCATCTTTACAAGATAAGGCGAAGGTTATGATTTTCCTTCGTTGTCATATTAGTGAAGAGCTGAAAAATGAATATCTCACTGAAAATGATTCACTGAGTTTGTGGAAAAACTTAAAAGAAAGATATGATCATCAAAAAACAGTTATTTTCCCAAAAGCTCGGACTGATTGGCAGGAACTGCAGCTGCAAGATTTTAAAACTGTGGTTGAATATAATTCTGCCTTATTTAAAATCAGCTCTACACTAAAATTATGTGGTGATACTGTTACTGATGAACTTTTGCTGGAAAAAACATACACCACATTTCACGCCTCGAATGTACTCGTGCAACAATAATATCGAGAGCGTAGAGTTGAAAAATATTCAGAACTGATATCATGTTTACTTGTGGCTGAGCAAAATAATAAGTTTTTGTTAAGAAACCACCAGTCCCGTCCAACTAGATCGAAACCAATCCCTAAAACATATGTTGCCTCATTTCGTGGAAGTGGACGTGGACGTGATAATAGACATGGTTGTGGTGGTAGAAATGGCTATAATAATGAATACGGTTGTGGTGGTAGAAATGGCTATAATAATGAATACGGCCGTGGTGGTAGATATAGCTATAATAATGAATATGGCCGTGATAAGAATAACTACCACATAAATGAATAAGGTAGTAGTAAAAATCTCTCTTATTACCGTGAAGGATATAAGTCCTCAAATGTTCGCAATCAGAGCTTCACACCATATCCCCAAAGAAGGGATTATAATGAAATGAAACAAGTAAAAGGGAAGGGTTTGTTTTATCCCCCCAAGACACATGAAAATGCTTGTTATCGGTGTGGAATGACAGGGCACTGACAAAGTATTTATCGTACGCCTAAACATCTTGCTGATCTTTACCAAACTTCCATAAAAGAAATAGGAAAGCAAAAGGAAATGAATTTCATCAATTATGATATGCCAGTTGATATGACAAATTTAGATGTCTTAGATTTCTTTGGGGACCATGATGGCAAACTTGATTGCTCGATTGGTGATGAAAATGTCCACACCAAGTAATCATACTTTATTCATTCTCTTGTATGGGTTTAATTGCTCTCTTGTATTCATCATATGATTATCTTTCTAGTATGAAAATTTTTATTACTATTATATTAAAGTTTTTATTTATTTTCTAATAACTAATTTTGCATGAATAGGCATGGAGCTGAATAATTCATTGACTAAGTCTAAACTAAAGTGTAAAGATATATGTCTAGTTGACAGTGGAACGACACACACAATTCTTCGAGACAAAAAATATTTTTCTCAATTGATATTGGCAAATGCTAGTGTTAGTACTATATCTAGTCCCACAACTTTGATTAAAGACTTTGGCAAAGCCCACATTATGTTATCATGTGGAATAGAAATACACATTGATAATGCATTATATTCGACTAAATCTTGGAAAAATCTATTAAATTTGAAAGACTTACGTCGAAATGGTTATCATATTGAGACCACAAATGAAAAAAATGTGGAATATCTCTGCATTACTTCTATCACCTCTTGCAAGAAGGATATACAATAAAAACTTCTTGTTTTGTCCTCTGGGTTATATTATACAACCATAAGTACAATTGAGTCATATGCAGTAATGCATCAAAAGTCTTACGACCTAACACTTTTTATGCTCTGGCACGATAGACTTGGTCATCCTGGATCCACAATGATGCATCGCATTATTAAGAATTTATATAGCCACCCATTAAAGAATCAAAAGATTCTTTTATCAAATGATTATCCATGCACTGCTTGCTTACAAGGCAAACTGATCGTTCGACCATTTCCTTCAAAAATCATTATTGAATCTTCACCATTTTTACAGCGAATTCAAGGAGATATATATGGACTAATTCATCCACCAAGTGGACCATTTCGCTATTTTATGGTCTTAATTGATGCCTACATATGATAGTCACATGTTTATTTGCTTTCTTTGTGTAATGTTGCATTTGCTAAACTTCTAGCTCAAATCATTAAATTACAGACACATTTTCCTGAATACCTAATTAAGATAATTTGACTTGATAATGCAGCTGAATTTTCTTCCAAAGCTTTTGATGAATATTGCATATCAGTAGGAATTGATGTTGAACATCCTGTTACACACATTCATACTCAAAATGGTTTGGCATACTCTTTTAATAAACGACTTCAGTTAATAGGTCGCCATTTACTTATGCGATCACAATTATCTGTTTCTATCTAGGGGCATGCTATGTTACATGCTGCATCATTAGATCGAATACGACCTACTGCTTACCATAAATTCTCCCCCTTACAACTTGTTATTGGTCAACAACCAAATATCTCTCACATACGAGTTTTTGGTTATACTGTTTATGTTCCAATTGCACCACCACAACGCACTAAAATGGGTTTTCAACATCGACTTAGAATTTATGTTGTGTTTAATTCTCCATCTATTATTAGGTATCTTGAACCTATGACAGGTGATGTGTTTAAGGCACGGTTTGCTAATTGTCATTTTAATGAGATTGTTTTCCCATCATTAGGGGGAGAAAAGAAAAATTATGAAAGGCATAGTAAGATCAATTGGAATGCCTCAACATTATCTCATTTTGATCCTTGTACAAATCAATGTGAACAAGAAGTTCAAATGATCATTCATTTGCAAAATGTTGCAAACCAATTACCTGATGCATTTACTAACACAAAGAAAGTGATGAAATCATATATACCAGCTGCAAATATACCAGAAAAAATTATTGTCCCTGAAGGACCATCTGTTAGTAGTGCAGCAAATGCATCTAAACCATGCCGAAGCATGGTAGACCAGTCAGTGCAAAAGATATTGCTCCTCGTAAAAGGAAATTCAATATGCACATTGGCGCTCCTGAAGAGGCCACAAAGAGAGTAACAAAAATTATTGACAAGAAAGCGGCTTTTGATAAAGTCCAGGTACCAAAAAATGATGAAATAATAAGTCTTGATGTGGCAAAGGCAACCAATGATGATGTGGCCATTGATAAGGCACATGCCCTTGATGAGGGCAATGGTACCTGAAAGTGATGAGATCTCAATAAATTATGGAATAAGATGGAATAGAGATGAAATTATTGTCGATAACATATTCTCGTATACTGTTGCTTTAGATATTAAGAAGGATTCGGAACCTCAAAATGTTGATGAATGTCGTCGAAGAAATAATTGGCCAAAATAGAAAGAAGCAATACTGGCAGAGCTAAATTCATTAGCTAAACGTGAAGTATTTGGACCTGTAGTCCAAACACCTGAAGGTGTAGAGCCTGTTGGGTACAAATGGGAATTTATACGAAAACGTAACGAGAAAAATAAAATTATGAGATATAAAGCCCAACTAGTAGCTCAAGGTTTCACACAGAGACCTGGTATTGATTATAATGAAACATACTCTCCTGTGATGGATGCAACTACATTTCGATTCATAATACATTTGGCAATCATAGAATGATTGCTAATGGACATGGTAACGGCATATTTATATGAATCACTGGAAAGTGATATTTATATGAAAATCCCAGAAGGATTTCAAATGCCTGAAATAAAACCATGTAATATATACTCGATGAAATTACAACGATCCTTATATGGATTGAAAAAATCTGGGCACATGTGGTACAATCGTCTTAGCGAGTACTTGATAAAAGAAGGGTATATGAATAATCATATTTGTCCATGCATTTTTATTAACAACTTAGGATATGGTTTTGCTATTATTGCAGTATATGTTGATGATCTGAATATTATGGGAACTTTGGATGAAATCGAAAAGACAACCACTTATTTAAAGAAAGAATTTGAGATGAAAGATCTCGAAAAAACAAAATTTTGTCTTGGTTTGCAAATTGAACATTTATCAAGTGGAATCCTCGTCCACCAGTCAACATATACAGAAAAGATTTTGAAGTGATTCTATATGGATAAAGCGCACCCACTGAGCTCCCCAATGGTTATCCGATCACTTGATATCAAAAGAGATCCTTTTCATCTTCAAGAGGATGATGAAGCACTCCTTAGTCCTGAAGTGCCATGTCTCAGTGCAATTGGTGCTCTTATGTATCTTGCAAATTGTACACGGCTGGACATAGCATTTTCAGTCAATTTATTAACAAGATACAATTCTGCACCAACCCGCAAACATTATAATGGAATCAAGCATATATTATGATATCTTCGTAGTACAATTGATATGGGATTGTTTTATTCAAAAGAATCAAAATCCCAGTTAATTGGATTTGCAGATGCTGGTTGTCTCTCTGATCCACACACAGCTCATTCACAAATAGGATATGTGTTTACCTGTGGAGCACTGCTATATCATGGCGATCTATAAAACAGACAATGATTGCAACTTCTTCAAATCATTCAGAGATATTCGCAATTCATGAGGCAAGTAAAGAATGTGATGAGCATTGAAAAGTGCGCATTTAAACCCTTTAAGCTTAGGTATTCTAGGACATTTATCTATCTTACTAGACCGTTTTGTATTGATTCCATGTTATTTCCATTTTCAGGCACTTATCCCTAAAATAAGCTAACTCAGCCAAATAAGAGCAAAAAGGAAGCAATTCTGGGATGAATTAAAGAAAAGAGCAAAAGAGAAGAAAGAAAGCAAAAGATGGAATTTCAGCATCTTCGATCGATCTCAAAAGAAGGTTCGATCGATCCAGCATGATCGATCTCAGCACTTCCAAGATAGATCCAAGCCATGATGCTCATATCCGAAGATCCCAAAGTTCGATCGATCCAACTCCATTCTCTGATCGATCGAACATTCTTGTCCTTATCCAAATGATTGATTTTATCCAGCTATACCACCCTACTAACCACTTTTGTCCTTTTCCTAAAAATATCTCCAAAATATCTCAGATTTGTTTTTATCCAAAAAGGCACCACAAGTTGGATCGATCTAGCCTTAGTTCGATAGATCTCAGCCATGTTCGATCGATCCAATGTCAAGGTTCGATCGATCGAACTTCCTCCAGTGCGAAAAAGTTAAATTTCCAGCTCACAAAAAGTTGTGCTTTATCCAATCATTGGGGAATATTTGTTGTACGACCTCAGCTCATTTTGGGTGACATTTAACCTACCTATATAAGGGTAAGGATTATTTTTTACATATATCATATCATACCTTGTAACATTCAATTTTAGAGAGAATTCTTAGTGAGGAAGCAAAAGAAGAGAGGAGGCTAGAGACACAAGCTTAGAGTCTTCATCAACCAAGGAGCAAATTTCTTCCAAGGAGCTTGCCCTTGAGGGTTAGAGGAACATATCTATGAGTGGCTAGACATCCTCTT